GGGAAAGAATAATGTTTTCAGAAATGGTGTTGGGACAATTGGCTGTCCAAAACTGGACATCTACCTCACACCATACAAAATAATTAACTCAAAATAGACCATGTAAGAGCTAAAACTAAAAGACAGCACAGGAGTAAACTTTTGTGATCTTAAGTTAGGCAATGGATTCTTAGATACAACACCAAAGCACAAGCAATAAAAGAGAAGACTGATAAGTAGGACTTCAAAATTTTAAATTTTGTGCTTTTGGGACTTCCCTGGTGGCACAGCGGTTAAGACTCCATGCTCGCAATGCAGGGGGCCCAGGTTTGATCCCTGATCATGGAACTAGATCCCACATGCATGTCACAACTAAGAGTTTGCATGCCACAAATAAGGAGCCCACATGCCACACTAAGGAGTCCGCCTACCGCAACTAAGGAGCCCACATGCCGCAACTAAGACCTGACGCAACCAAATAAATATTTTAAAATAAATAAATAAATAAAATTTTGTGCTTTAAATGATACTATCGAGTAAGTAAAAAGACAACCCACTAATAGGGAGAAAATGTTTGCAAATCATATAGCTATTAAAAAGAATACCATCTATATCATGGACATATAGATGGTATGTTTTTTGTAAACTCTTACAATAAACTCTTACAACCGATAATAAAAGGACAATCCAATTAAAAAGTAGGCAAAGGATTTTTGCCTACTTTTTATTTCTCCAGATATTTCACCAAGGAAGATATATAAAGAGCCAACAAGCACATAAAAAGATGTTCAACATGACTGGCCATCAAATAAATACAAATTTCCTGTAAATGTAAATTTCCAGGGAAATGTAAAAAAAAAAAAAACAAAAATGGGGAATAACAAGTGTTGACGACAATGTGGAGAAATTGAAACCCTCGTGCATTGCTGGTGGGAATGTAAAATGGTGCAGCCACTATGGAAAACAGTTTGGCAATTCCTTGGAATATTAAATATTAAACATAGAGTTACCATATGACCCAGCAATTCCACTCCCAGGTATATACTTAATAGAATGGAAAACATATGTTCACACAAAAACATGTACACAAATGTTAACAGCAGCATTATTCATAAGAGCCAAAAATGGGGAATAACACAAATGTATATCAACTGAAGAACGCATAAACAAAATGTGCTTTATCCATTCAACGGAATATTATTCAGCAATATAAAAGAAAGACATACTAATTCATGATACAACATGGATGACCTTTGAGAACTTTATGCTGGGTGAAAGAAGCCAGTCTCAAAAGATCACATATGTTATGATCCCAATTATAAGAAATGTACAGAGCAGGCAAAACTACAGACACACAGAGCAGATTAGTGGTGCCTAGATCTGGGATGGGAGGGACAGAGAGAGCAGGGAGTGACTGCTAATACAGAGGGTACAGAGTTTCTTTGAGGTGATGTAAATATTCTAAAATTAGATCACGGTGATGGCTGCACAACTCTGTGAATATACTGAAAATCATTAAACTGTACACATTAAATGAGTACATTGTATGGCCAGTGAGTTATGTCTCAATAAAGCTGTTAAAAAAAAAACACAAGTCTGAAACAATCCATCTACAAAACGGAATCTCTAGGAATAGAGAAAGTGAAGTGCCATACTGAAAATCAAAGACACCAACGTGAAGAAAACGGAAGAGGAGGAAGAAGACGGGAGAAAATAAAAGGAATGATATGACATGATAACATCAGACAAAGGTTTATTTATCACATTCATTTCTCTTATTGTAGCAAACTATCCAGTTCTGAATATCTGTAAGTAATAAAACAGTTGCAGGACACACAGCAAGTAGTACGTGAGAGTAATTTTCACATGTGGTAATAACTCAGCCTTCAGTAATCACTGGCTTCCATTTAATTTTTGAATACTCTTGAAGGAACATAATTAAAAGCAATATAGAAAAGTTATAATCCCCAAAATGATGACTACAAGAGTTTAGTACCCCAAAGGTTAAGGATCAAAATTTCTTTTGTTTTTTTGTTTGCTTGTTTGGTACGCGGGCCTCTCGCTGTTGTGGCCTCTCCTGTTGCGGAGCACAGGCTCCGGACGCGCAGGCTTAGCAGCCATGGCTCACGGGCCCCGGACCGGGGCACAAACCCGTGTCCCCTGCATCGGCAGGCAGACTCTCAACCACTGAGCCACCAGGGAAGCCCTAGAAAGTTCTTTTCTATTATCTTCTTCCTACACTTCCATTTAAATAAGAAGTAGATGTCATTTGACTTTCTGAACCACTGTTAAGGAAGTGACATACACCCACGGCCTACCATTCTGAATCACTGGGAAATCAAAGATGGCTTTACCTTTTCTAACGTACTGAAGGAAGGCCAGGACTGATATCCATATTCAGATACAAATCGAGCTTTGGGGAAAATTTTCCAATTCCAGCAATCGCCAACATAGTCATAAAAATGCACGTCGCCATAATTCGGGTCATATGGGTTTTCAGAGAGCCAGCCTTCTGCGGTGGATCTAGCCCCATTTGTAGGACTGGATGTGATAAAAGGACGAGTCTGGTCTCCCTGAATTCAGAAATAAAACGGCTTAAAAGATAAGCTTTTCACCCAGTAAAGTACAGATCACTTACTTCTTTAAAAGTACTATCAAGTCCCAGAAATGCCAAGTAGCTGACAGAAAAATAACAGAGCCACTTACCTTCTTCTGCATTTGACAACCACCAGCAGCTTTCTGCTCTTTGCCAAAATCCTTCATAGCCTGTCATAATGAACCGTAGCTTATTCCTCACAGCAGCTATTCCTAATTTTTTCAATCATGTCTTAAGCTATACTTGACCTTCTACCATCGTGGGTAGTTTACAGTCTGGTGCTGAATTTCTCAACCTTGGCACTAGTGACATTTGGGGCCTGATAACTTTTGGTTTTGTGTGTGTATGCTGGGAGTGGGGGAGGTCCTATACATTCTAAGACATTGAGCAGCATACCTGGCTTCTACCTACTAGATGCCAGTAATACCTACCCACCTGCCACGCCACCCCACAAAAAAAAGTCTACAGACATTGCCAAATGTCCCCTTGTACCTTGGGAACAAAATCACTTCCACCTGAGAAACAAAGGTCTAATGGTTTAGAATGGGCTATTGAGTCAGAGGGACATGAGTTTGAATCTCAAATTAGAACCTTATTGTTTTGGGACAGGTCTAAGCCTCAGTAGTCTTATCTGTAAAATGGAGATAATAATGGTACCTCCTTCATTGGGCTATTGTAAACGGTAAAAAAAAAAAAAAACGTGTGGAAGAGATGGCTAAGTGTCCATCAAAATTCACGTTCCCGTTTCTGTCCCTAGAAAGTGGCTTGCTAACTATTTGCATCTCTGGGCAGCCACATTCTCATCTTCTTCCCCAGTTTGCAGGCAAAGGCCTAAGAGATGGTGGAGCTGGAAGATGGAAGGAGCCTGGATCTCTAAAAGGAGGAGAGCTGCCTGCCCACCAGGAGCAGCCATTGTGACGTGTTACTGAGTAAGAAAGAAACTTTTATTACGTAAACCACTGAAACTCTGTGGTTTCTTTGTTACAGTAGCCAATATATAATTACTTAATCTAGTGTCTAGCACACAGGGAGAACTCAAAATGTTTTAATTATTATTATCTCAATTAATGAACTTACTTCCTCTTTCAGTGACAAGAATCATTCATTTAGCAAGTATCTGTCAAGTGTTTATTGTGGGTCGGGTTTTTCAGCACTGCTGAGAGAGAGAGAGAGAGAGAGAGAGAGAGAGACAGAATCTATGGCATCATCCAGTATTAACGCATCAAATCTCTTTTGAGCATTTACTATGCACCAGGCATACAGTTTCTTCTTTGTACTGGAGGTTCAGCA